ATATATATATATATACATACATATATATAAATATACATACATACATACATACATATATATACATATATATATATATATATACAAACATACGACATACATACATACATATGTATATATACATATACATACATAGGGCCCTAATCAAATGAGAACTAATTAGTTTGTGGTAACTGTGAGGTCCAATCTCAACCACAAATCAATAGATAAATTAAGAAATTTATAATTTTGGCAATTTTTAATTAAAATTTTAATGCAAGGGTATTTTAGGTATTTTCTCTCTTCTCTCCTATCTCCTCTCTTCTCTCTCCGTCCCCCGTCCTCCGGGCACCGTCCTCCGGGCACCGTCCTCCGGGCACCGTCCTCTGGTGATACCACAATGGTATCACAATGCATCATATATGTGATTGGGTATCACACTGTGGTCGTTTGTGCGGTCGATCGGATATGTAACACAGTGGTATCACAATGCATCTTATATGTGCTTGAGTATCACACTGTGGTATCACTGGAGAATGGTGGCAGGAGGCCGGAAGATGGGGACGGAGAGAGGAGAGAGGAGAGAAAATACCTAAAATGTCCTTGCATTAAAATTTTAATTAAAAGTTACCAAAATTATAATTAAAAGTTACCAAAATTATAAATTTCCTAATTTATCTATTGATTTGTGGTTGAGATTGGATCTCACGGTTACCACAAACTAACCAGTTCTCCCTTGAAAGACCCCTACATACATACATATATATATATATATATATATACGTACATATATACAGGGGCCTATTCAAGGGAGAACTGAGTTGTTTGTGGTAACTGTGAGAACCAATCTTAACCACAAATCAACGGATAAATAAGGAAATTAGTAATTATGGTAATTTGAGTTAAAATTATAATTAAAGGGCATTTTAGGTATTTTTAAAAAACTCCTCTCTCCGACCTCTGATCTCCGATCTCCGGCCTCCGGTGAACATTAATCCGGCAGGTACCAATGTATTACCAATTGGGGTACCACCATGTACCACAAAATTTTCACTCGTCTCCTCCTTTCCCAATCCATCTTCTCCGGCCACTCTGTGATACCCATTACCCAATGTATTACCAATTGGGGTACCACCATGTACCACAGAATTTTCACATGTCTCCTCCTTTCCCAATCCATCTTCTCTGGCCGATACCCATTACCCAATGTATTACCAATTGGGATACCACCATGTACCACAAAATTTTCACTCGTCTCCTCCTTTCCCAATCCATCTTCTCCAGCCACCCTGTGATACCCATTACCCAAGTATTACCAATTTGGGTACCACCATGTACCACATAATTTTTACCCATCTCCTCCTTTCTCAATCCATTTTCTCCGGCTACCCCTTCATTGTTGCAGCCACCATCTCCTTATCTCCCTTCTCCCTTTCACCTTCCGCAACACACGCACGCACCCCTGCACCACCGTACGAACTAACACAAACATAGGGACGAGGAAATAGGCAAAGCACACCCGAACCTTCCCCTTCTACCGCCTCTGTCGTGTCTCGTCTCCGTCATCTGCCTCGTGAACCACTCCAGCAAGTCCCAGTCCATGCTTTGAAGCCATCAAAGAAACAATCAAAGCAAAACCAAAAAGGGTTGTTGATTTCATAGGGCCAAATCAAAGAAGAGAGATAAGGTTTTCTAATAAAGGAGAAGATGAGATGGTTGTAGMAGRKGAAACCGTCGATGAAAAAGTAGATGGGGGTGGCCGGAGAAGAAGTAGACGAAGGAGAAGAGTACCTAAAGCATCTAGGGTTTTATAATTATAACATTACCAATTTACCCTTTATGTTATTTTAGGATATAACATTAATTATTTAAATGATTGGCTCATATTGGTTCTCACAGTTACCACAAACAACTCAGTTCTCATTTGATTAAGCCCCCATATATACATACATACATATATACATACATACATACATACATACATATATACATACATACATATATATATATATATATATATATATATATGTTATAACCCTCCCTCTAAATGGATAATTTATCAAAAATTCAAAATAATTCCACATGTCCTAGCAACTTTATTACAATGCTTACCTAGTTACCTCAATCCGTGTACAATTTGGTTGCATATCCTACAATTTCTAAATAAAATCTTTCATGTCCACCTAATTTCATGCGTCTTTTCAAGGGTAAATCTAGGGTTAGCTAGAATTTCATATTTGCAATTTGTTAAAAATTGAATCAAGGTTTAATTTACCTTTTAAAGTATTCTCTAGAAATCCAAGTTCTTTTCTTCTTCTCAGATACTATTTGATCTAGATCTAAGCACTACCCTATACCAGTCTGTTATATATACTACATTTTCAGGTGGCAATCGATTTTTCGGTTCTCAATCTACAGATTGAAATCAACCCGACCATTTGGTATTCTGCGAAGGTACCATCTATATATGAATATATTCAAAACATAAGGAAATCTTGTGGCCTTCACATATGGGGATTATGAAAAGGTATTGAACTTGGGTAGGCTCTCAAAGTTATAATGTACAGATGGGCAAACGTACACTACCAGAATCAAGCATGGGGGGAATTTGAAAAGAATATATCTAAGAAGAGCAATAGGCTAATTAAACTTATATTCATATTAGTATCGACACTACAACTGCCAATCCTGTTTACCCAAAATTTTCCTCTAAGTTGTCGAAAATTCATACATGTTGAAAGATATAACTTTTCTAATTCAATCTTTACTTTTGTCATATTTTGTCAGATATAAAGATAAAGGGCTAACGGTGTAATAAACAGAAAGTTGCTGATTTGAAGCAAGGGGCTGCGCGTCACGTTATTCAGATCTTCAGGGGTAGCAGAGTCATTGTTACATTCTTGGAGAACCAAACTTGCAATTATTGAATTTATATATAAGCTCTTACTATTAGGTTTAGCTCAGCTTATCATTTTTCCTACTACACGATATCTTCACATTCTCTTTTCTCTCTAAACACTTTGGTTAACACTGTATTAGATCTAAAGTTCTTGTATTTCTTTTTGTATTGTAATATATAGTTGATTAGCATTGAATAAACATTTGGTTTATGTTTTGTTCAGTAATACATTTACATTAGCTTTAATTTATAACATTTGATTGCATTGTAAATAAACTTGTATGCTAGCTTGGTAATTGTACTTATTTAGTTTCTAGGATAGAAAACATCATCAAGAAGTCATTATCCGGATATTTATTACATGCCAAACATCGTTTTCCATGGGATATCATGGAGCAAATATATAACTATTCGCCTTGTCACATAAATACAACAAAACCAAGAATCATAAATTATGCATATATCACTATGATTATGAAAGGATCATGCGTTTCGACATCATATGAATCAAGTTTTGTTCGTCAAGTTTTTTATTTTTTGGTGCTTGGAAGTATCCCCACTTCTTATCTAGCTCATGAAACCGAACGACATCCATATATATATATATATATATGTGTGTGTGTGTGTGTGTGTGTGTGTGTCTGGAATCACTGTCAATTTCGTATCTCACGAATGTAGAGCAAGATAGTGAGCTTATATTTATAATCCCATGATCCAACAGTTCTTAAGGTAATCATGTTCTTGATTCAGAAGCTATTGAGTTATTGTAGAAGTGAGAATCTTGAGTTTGTGTTTGAGTGTGAGCCATGCATCTAGGCAGGGCCGTCCCTTAGCATGTTAAATATGAGATTTTGAACAGGGCCTCCAAATTTTTGGGGTTCAAATTTACATATGTTTAGGGTCTTTTAATCGACCTGTGTAAACTATAGCGAAATTATTTAGGTTCAAACCCTTATTTGTTTGATTTTAGGTTCAAATCATTATTAGGTTTAGTTTCAGATTGTTAATAGTTTTAGGCTTAACCCACTTTTGTTCTTAACATATATTCTCTATTATTTTATTTATGCAACGTAATCAAAAGTTTCGAATGTAACAGGACCTCCAAAAAGATTGGAACGTCCCTGCATCTAGGAAACATTCCAGACTCACACTATCATGAATAGGTACAAGTTTGTCAATTTGATCTATCTTTTCTTGTGTAAATTAGGTAATTAAAGATGACAATTATCTTGGACGGTGCACACTATGCATCAAATTCACCCCTGATAATACCAATCCTTTGGTAAACATGAGTAAAGTGCTTAGTTTTATACAACATAGAAAAGTTAAAAACTAAGACAGAGGCCAAAAAACAAAACAATAAGAAAGGATTACAACTAATTATGCCTACCAAGGTGACCAACATCAAAGACAGCAGAGAAAAATTATGATCCATGTTCAATAAGAAGCATCGTTGCCACATATATCAAAGCCATGGAGAGAGCTGTGTGGATGGTCATAATCACTAGAACTGTAATAAAGTTCTTAATCATCTTGAAACAAAGCAAAATACTTCAAATTCGATTACTTACAGTCGCATATACACGTACGACTGATCAAGTATCCCAAGGTTCCATATGTAGAACATATAGATTTGAATGATCAAATTCTTATTTCCAAGGAAAAAGTGTTGTTTTTAGGTAGCTTAAAGCCCTAAACATACTACAAAAGTATGGATTTTATGAATTTGATGCTGGGCAGCAGACAAAATATATATAGTATAGTAGAATTTCTAAGATTGGGTTCAAATAGCTACATTTCAGTTGTATAGAGTACAGGATTCATCAATCAGCCAAATAAATAAGTTTTGTACTATACTACAAAAACACTCACAAGTATGTATGTATGTATGTATGTATGTATGTATGTATGTATGTATATATATATATATATATATATATAATTAAAGATTAAAAATTGAGAAGTATTTCACCTAAATATGTAACTCCCATTCTTGTTCCAGTTTCCACAAATATGCTTCCTTCTCTTGCCATGGATATGAAGCATCAAATATATAGTTGTAGTTGTATGATTGATTGAAGCAGTTAATACACTCTTTCAGATTCATAAGAGGAAGGACTTCATGCTATGGATAATGACCTAGACGTAGCTCTAAATCAACTTCATTTTCCGGCCAATCTTCTTGCGCAGCATTTGCACTCCTTGTATTGCTATGTTCCATTTCAGAAGTCCCAATCCCAAGATTTAAGTTCACTAACAGATGCTCTTCATGCAGGGCATGGTTATCGAACTGTGAGGCAACCGAATTACATGGGAAATTAGGGTTTGATGGTGTAAGCTGATAATCATGATCACCTGTCCGAAACCCGAAAGAAGACCCACGATACTGAACCTCTTCGTTAGGAATACTCTTGAAAGATTTAGGAGAAACCATCAAGTGATCTTTGTTGGGCTTGGTTGAAGCAGTAACAGTAGTAGTAAAAGCTTTCTGTTGTTTAGCTTTGGCCTTGTCTTTTCTGTGGATGTTCATGTGACCTCCTAAGGCTTGAGCGTTTGTGAAACCTCTTTTGCAGAAAGTACACTCGTATGAGCGGCCCACACCATCTTTCGAGCTGTCGGGAGACAACGAGGGACCAGTTTCTTGATCGCTCGAAGTTCCTGAACTTCTGTGTTTCTCAGAACCCATAATTTTCAAGAGGGATTGTCTTGCACTTTTCTAGGTTTGAGGGTATATCAAGATCAAGAAATCCCTTCGTCGAGAGAATAAATGGTGATAAAATTTAGGGTTGACGCAATTGAAGAGGAAAACTGTGTAGACAGAAAGCAAGGTTATATTGACTAAAAGGTACACGGGAATAAAGAAGAGTGACATAGAAAATATGGATTTTCTTTGTTGTAGTTTTGTATTCGGCCGGCTCTGCAACTCAATTACGGTTCTGTTCACGATCCACCGAGTTATATGATGATGAAGCTGACGTCATTGGTATTTTCTTCATGCCAACTACAAAATGCAAAATTTGAATAGATAGTTCTTAGTCTGCCGACAAAACAAAAGCTAAATGCAATATAAAAACATATGTTATTCTATACTGAAATTAGATAGGAATACGATCAACTCAAGGATCTGCGGGCGACTTGGCCCGCAACCTAGGCTGCGACCAAAATCGCATGTAGTCACATGTGCTTGGTCATTCTCTTATTCCATTTCCTTGGTATTTGTTATCGTCTCGTCCATTAAGCGCCACACTCTTTGGTCCATTGGCTGTTCTATGCTTAATTTCTTATGATACTGGCTGCATTGAGTCCATAAGTTTATTACGTTCGACAAAGGGACTATCACCAGCATCAAACCATTGATACGGCATAAAATTATACCATTACATTACATTCACTTACCGCAAAGAAAGCTTTGGAGGGACTTTTCGTTTATACAGCTTCGATTTCTTTATCGTCTTTTAGTGGTTTGTCTTGTTTTTTAGTGTTTGCGTCCATTTTTGTTTTTCAGTGGATGGTTTTGTGTATTGTAATCATCCCTTTGTTTCCATAGATTTGCCTTTTCTTAGTTTTTTGCACACCAATCAACTTACCATTTCCCCCCTTTCATTTGAGTCTCCTTTTCTCTTAGAATGGACGATGCTAGTGATTTAAGTATATTTCCATATATAGTAACTCTCTATTCTTATACAATCAATACAATACAATTGAGTTCACAGGACATCGTGTCCCAATAGACCTCTTTATAAGACTTAATTTATAGGACCAAAATATAAAGTGTCCTATCTAAATGTGTTGTAATAAGTTTATATGATGCTTTTGGGCGTCTTAACAAGTTTTTTAGGACATTTTTAATACACAATGTCGCATTAACAACTTTATAGGACACTTTTTGAGAAAATGTCCTATAAACTCAATTTTTTATAGGACATTTGTTTTTATATGACAATTTTTTAAATAATGTTCTATAAAGTTGATAATGTGACACTTTATATTAAAAGCGTCCTAAAAAACTTATTACGACATAAAAAAAGTCATATAAACTTATTACAACACATTTAGATAAAACACTTTATTTTTTTGGTCTTATAAACTAAGTCCTATAAAGAGGTCTATTAGGACGCTTACAATTTGAGAGTGTCCTATAAACCTGATTTTGTTGTAGGGAGTTAGAAAAATACTTATTTTTATGGATAATTTGTTTGAGGAGGGATGTATAGCATTAAGCTTTGTCTTATATACAAAGGCATATATTAAAAGCAAGTTGAGAAGGTTCTTAATATGAACAAAAAGGGAAGTCAAAGAGACCTCCCAACCATGACCCATCGCCAACTTTTCTTTTCCCTCAAACATTTAATATATCTATTGACTTGTTCTTATTTTTGTCCCTTAAAAGTTTTAATTATATGTTTGGATTTTCGTTTTAGTTTCGTTCGATTAACAAATGCGTAATTGCCCTTCTTTTTGTCTTTGTTAATATCAAGTCGTTAAAGTCATCTGTACGTAGGGATAAACTGTAACGTAACTAAAGAAATAAGACAACAAAAATCTCAAGAAACATCAACTTTTTGTCGGTTACAAATAAATCTTTTTTTCCAAGAAATCGTAATTCGACTAACAAGAATAACAATAACCGATCGTAGAAGACAAATGAAGTGGATGACTTATTGACAAATAAACGAGAACATGAGCAAAACTGACTGACAACAAATACCATAATCATAATGTGGCCAGGGAAGATGGATCAAGGCACTTTCACTCTTCATTAATCCTACCTTTCGGAGTGTTAGAGGCTGTTTACCTAAATGCTTACCCATAAAATGTTTACTTATAGGAGTCAACACTATAATTTGCTTTGATGCGTAAGATTTTCGTACATCAAAACGTATCGAATGCAACAATTTACTGGGTAAGCACTTACCTAGGAAAGAGTCGTCATCTTCACTTACCGGGTAAGACTCTCCATCTTTCTCATTGCTCTTACCCGGTAAGATTTTTGGCCCTTGTCATGTTCATCCGATAAGAAAATTTATCCAATAAACACTTACTAAGTAACCATTTAGTAAACGGCTCCTTAATTACCAAGAGAGACCGTTGTAATTTTGGTTTCTTTTTCTTCACTTCCATTTATACTACAAAGAGTGATATATATTAATTACATAACGATGACTATATATCGAGTCATTGTGGATATCAATACATCTTATACTTTCACATGTTTTTCATATTAAAGAATTTGCATATTTCCCTTTGATTTTTTTTATCGATGTATATACACTTTTACATTCATATCAATTACACACACTTAAATATATAATAGTAAAATAAAATATAAATAATTAAAGATAAGTTTTTTTTGGAAAATTAACTTCTGAAATGTGACATATTGGGGCAAAATTTACCCAAATAATTTGTAGTTTTCAAACATCTACTACTTTTCATCAAATGGGTGTAATTGATAATAATTTATAAAAATATAATGATAATACACTACTAGAAAATTGGGCATCTCTGGCGAATTTTCCAGCAGAAAAAATCCTTCAGAATTTTACCCGCGGATTACCGACGGACAACAAAAGTCAACTTTTGTTGACTTACGCTGGAAATCCTCCGGTAACATTATTCTCATAATATTTCAGGCGGATTTCCGGCGGATCACCGTCGGACAACAAAAAAAGCCAACATTTGTTGACTTCCGCTGGAAATCCGTCGGTAACATTATTCTGGCGGATTTCCGGTGGATTTTGTAATTAATTATTTTAGAATATTTTAACTATAATTACAATAATCAACCGCTGGATTTCTGACGGATATTTAATTAATTTTTTAAGATAATGGTCCGCAGAAAATCCGTCAGAAAGTAATTAAAATTTGAAATTTATTTTTAAAATTTTTTGGCTGATTTCCGACAGAACTAAGCAGAATATTTAATAAATAAAAATAATCATTTAAAATTAAAATATATTTTTGGCGAATGTATCCGTCGGTAATATTTAAAGAAATAAATAATTTTTTTATCCGTTGGATAAGGTTACTGACGGATATATCTGCCGGTAATTTAATCCATTTTTAAGAAAAAAAACTTAATATTTTCTTAATTTAATCAAGATTTTTTAAATAAACCAGTGGAAATTTTCCAACTGCCGGAGTCCGCCGGAAAATGGAAAATCCGCCAGGAAATTAATGACCGGCGCCAATATTTCCGGGGGCTATATCCGATGGAAATGTTGCCTTGTTTGATAATGATATTGATTTCGTATGCGTTTGTAATAAATAAAATTTGATATATACGATGATAACGTATTTTTTGTCATGAATATTATATTTTTTAAACCTGGTCTTGTGGATTGAATTTGAACTTGAATAATACATATAATTTAGCATGAAAAACAGCATATGTTGCGCTGGTGTTTTGAAGCACAAAAACACAAATGGAAGTCGAACAATCAGAGAAAATAACACCAGTTGTCTTCATTAAAAAATATAATTAATCTCATAATGAATAAAATTATATATATATATATATATATTTTATTAATCTGGATGTTCAACATGTTATGCAAACCCACTAATTATAAGGCGATCACCCATAGAGTTACTGCATTTTAACTTCCGTGGTCACAAGGATTGGATTCAAACCTGAAACCTTTAAACATTTTTGACCTTTGGAGCCCAAGTTTAAACCAATCGAACACCATCTTAACAAAAATATATTTTCAGTTCACGCAAAAAATTTAATTTTAAATATTTTATAATTAATCAAACAATAAAATAAATTATAAATGCACACTGTTGGTGACCCTGTGTCCAGTTCATGCTAACAGTTGAAACCCTAGCATCCATGGCTGGTTTCTGACGAATGCATGCATGTCTCTGCGGTCCAACAACAATTCTTAAATTTGACTCGTTCTACGTTGTCTTCTTGCTGGTGTCGTCTACTTCGTTTCATTTTCTTCCTGATCGTAAGTCTCACGCTAGAGAATACAGAATTCAACAATTAATATATAATGAATGTCTTGATACATTTTTCATCTTATTTTTTCGGAGGCTTCACATAAAATGATATCGTTATGTAGGAAAGACCAACGCCATTTTAAACCGCGACTATTTATATTACCATTACAAAAAAGGAGTTTTTTAAGACGTCAGTTAGTCATCTTCAAGCTCATTGTCTTATGTCTAATTTTACTTATAGCGGGGCCTTCAACTGTAATATTTGGTTTCATTATTCAGTTGATCAGTTAGTAGTAATAATGGAAAGTTCGGAGTTAGTTGATGGTATTCATGGGTTGAAGAGAAATTGACCTATGATATTTTTCTTCTTATAATTATGTTCAAGTAATGTGTGTATATATATATATATATATATATATATATATATATCTATATATATAGGGGCTGGTTCAAATACTAACCCAATATTTTGTGCAAACTATGCTAACCCATCTTAATCGTTCATTTTCTCATCTAACGGTTATTATTAAATRAGATTAAATAAWCAATAATTTAATTAATATATTAATTAATATGTGTATGAACAATTGTTCAAAGGATAAATTGGTTAAAAATTTGTATTAATTAATATGTGTATGAACAATCGTTCATCTTCGTGCCTATATCAAGGTATGAACATTCATGTGA